CCCCCACCTGGTGCAGGTCCGTCTCCATGAGCTCAAACACCACGTAGATGTCCTTGAAGTCGCGCGGGCTGGGGGGCAGCATGATGTGCTTGATCTCCACAATGTCTGTTGCGATTCAAATTGTTAGTTTAACAGATCCGGTCAGATCAGGCAGGGCCGGGCAGCGGGCAGGGGCAGAAAACAGTCAGGCAGGCGCCAAGGTTGGTGTGGCGGCGGGCATGGCGGCAGCTGCGGCGCGCGCTGCTGGCCGCTGCGGCGGTCGACCTCCGCGGCGCTGCGCTGACAAAGCGCTCTGCAGCGCTTGATGCCCCCACAGCCGCCGCCGCCGCCCCGGCTGCGTCACGGACACTCCCGCACACCACCGCACGCCCAGCTGCCGCGTCCCCACGGCCACGGCGCTGCTCTCCGTTCAGGGACAAGAGCACACCCTCACAAGCAGGCTACAGCGCCGACGAGCGTTCCGACCCGGCCGGCGCGCCCTCTCATTCCCCTGCCATGCCGCGCCAGCCAGCGGCCCCTGCGGCGCACCCGGGTGCTTCAGCAGCCGCAGCAGCTTGATCTCCCGCAGAATGCGCGTGGCGTCAGACACATGCTCAAACACGTTGTTGATCTTCTTGATCGCGACCTGGAAGGCGGCGGGCGGCGGCAGAAGGGGCGCGGGACGCGCGGCGCATTGGCGGCTTTCGCCGCTTGAGCCAGCCAGCGCGTGGGGGCGCGGGTGATGCGCCCCGTCCCCGCCTCTGAGCCCGCGGGCAAGAGGCTGGGACAGCGCGGCGCGAGGGCTGAAGACGGCTGTCGTCCAGCCTACTCGGCAACGTTGCCCAATGTGCTGCGGCCGCAGAAGACCTGGGCTTCTGCCACCCTCACCCGCCTGGCGGCGGCCGAGGCCCCGCCTCCACCGTCGCCCAGCGGCCGCCCCGGCGGCCGCCGCTCCCTCAAGCTGCTGCCCCCGCCGCGCCGGCTGGTGCAGATCTGTACATCCACAAAAAAGCTACGCGTCAGCCCCACCCTCAACTCATGCACGGCCCCCAGCCCCACGGCGTGCCCGACCAGGCCGCCCTCCGCCGCGAACCCCTTGCCCGCGGTGCCCGCCCACCTTCTCTCCGGTATAGTTGTCCACCGCGCTGCACACCACGCCGTAGCTGCCCTTGCCAATCACCTCCTTGATCGTGTATCGATTGGCTTCCCCATAGTCTGTGAAGAACTCCTTTGGGTCCATGGAGCGCGACGTGGCTGCCGCGGGCTGCTGCTGCGCCTGCGGCTGGTGCTGCTGCGGCGCGTGATGCTCCTGCTGCTGCTGCTGCTGCTGCTGCTGCTGCTGGTTGTGGTGCTGGTGGTGTTGCTGCTGGTGGTAGTGCTGGTGCCGGTGATGTTGGTGCTGCTCATACCGGGGGTGCAAGGGCATGCATGCAGTGCAGGGATTTGAGTTGCCCGCAGCAGGGGCTGAGGAGGGCTGGGTGATGCAACCGCGCACGCTCGTTCGCCGCATGCCCCTTCGATGCGTCACAATCGATGCCAGCAGGGTTCCATGTGGTGCTGTGATAATCTGGGTCCCAAGTGTCAACGGCAACCAAGATAGCCGCTGCAGCACGGCGGCCTGCTGCTGCACGCCAGAAACTAAAGCATCGTCGGCGCCACTGGCGCTGGCCCGACGCGGCAGGTGCAGACGGCGGGGAGCTGATCTGCTGCGTCCTCACGCCATATGAGCCCCGTATGCGTCTCTAAGGACACCATAAGCACCATAAAAGTCGTGCAGTCCCATCCCAAAGGCTCTAGCAGCAGTTGCGGCCTCGCCCCATTCCGCCCCGTGCTCACCGGCACAGGAGGATGATGCCCAGGCTGATGGTGCTCCAAAGGTCTATCGTCCTCCTCCTTTTTTACCTCGGAGTCGACCAGCCCGCTGGCACCCTCAGCCCTGTAGAGCCAAGTCTTGGCTCTCTGTAGCATGAACACGCCGTCTAACACTCCTTTACTAGAAAAATATACTTTCTCTCCGCCTATCCAGCCCGGAGGCACGCGAACACACAGTTGTTCTGACGCGGGTCCCCTCGATGAACTTTGAAACAATTAATATGGCCTCTCTATCACACCATCAACCCAATCTGGTGTGTGCAAGTCGCTGCCAATGTCCTGCGTGGTCGTTGCGAAGGGTGAGGAAGGAGTGGGTTACCGTACTGTGATCGTATGTAACGGCATAAAACATGAGGAATCGGTTCGCCAGGTGTAGCAGTCTGCGTTGTGGCCTTGAATCTCATCTTCTCATGGTGCCCGGCCACGACCACTTTCCAGGCCGCTTGCTGGCGCCCGCGAGGTTGCCAGCATACCTGCACAGTAGAGTACGTGTGCTGGCACAGCCGACCTGGAGCAGGCATGCCCCAACCTTGGCCAGCACTGGTAGCACTTTCTGCCGTCGCATGGGTGGGCCAGTAGCCCCGGCACGTGCTGACCGGATGGCTTCGAGCAGCTGTACTGCTAGGGCTTCCTGGCAGGGGCACGCACCGCTTGCGCGCACCACCTCACACGGGCTGCCTCGGCATGCTGCCAGTGCAAGCCACTTCACAAGAGCCCGCCTGCACTGCATCTCTGAGATCTCACCGACCAGCTGCGACGCATGTGATGAAATCAGGCGCTCCTTTACGCAGTTCACTAACGCACCACACCACTCAGGTGCGGTACAGGGCCAGGCCTCGCACACGTCTTCAAGCCTTGCCTAGAAGAAGCCCTCAGTAACGGGGACCTCCCCCGGAACAGGCATGCGCCCCAGGTCGTCTATTATGAGCGCCGACACCTCTGTGCCCGCCGCCAGCGCCCCGCTCGCCTGCGGCACCTCCAGCAGCGCGTTGGCGCTGCGCGCGCTCAGCAGGCGGCTGCTGATCTGGTTGCCCGTGCTGACGGCGTACCACACGCACGCGTCCGCGCCGCCGACCGCCGCCGCGACGGCGCCGGCCGCGGCCGCGCCGGCGGTCTCTGGGTAGCGCCCGTAGCAGATCGTCGCCCGGTGGTACTCTGGCCGCTCGGGGTCGAGCTTCAGCGCCGACGTCGTCCACACCCGCACGCGCCGCAGCAGGGGCGCCCCCCACCCGCTCATCTTCCGCAGCGCGGGCAGGACGACCAGGTTGAAGCAGACGAAGCTGCTGACCGGGTTCCCCGGAAGGCCGAACACGAGCACCTTCTCGCGCGCGGGCTGGCCGGGGGCGCCGGCGCCGGCGGCGACCGGCAGCGTGGCAAAGGTGAGGGGCTTGCCCGGCTTCATGCGCACGCGGCCAAAGTGGATCTCGCCCTGGCGCGCCAGGAGTGGCTTGATCAGGTCCTTGTCGCCCATCGACACACCACCTGGCGGCGGTCGCACGGTTTGAAGCAGGATGAGGGGTGTCGAGAGAGTGAGGGTGCGCGGCGCTGGGGTGCGCGGCGAGCGGCCGCGGCAGCCACGTGAGGTTGGAAGGGCGGAAGGTAAACGAAGAGGCGAAGGCGTGATTGGCCCTCGCCTTCAGGGAGCGCGGCCGTGTGGCGCGAGTTGTCTTGCTGTGTGCCGCCCTTGTTCGCGACCCCAAGACCTCCTCACTTGTTCGTCGGACACAAAAACAGGCATGCCACGCGCCGGCTCCACCCGGACCCTCGTTCGCGCAGTTTGGCGCAGCGCGCACACACCCGCACGCTCTCGCACTCGCTGCAAGCGGCACGCAGCTCGGCCCCGCACCCGACGTGATGAGGACGTCCGCGCCCGCGTCCAGCGCGCGCTGCAGCGCCCCCTCCACCGACCCCTCCGTGTCCCCCGCGATCCCCAGGTCGACCACCCCCGCCCCCGCCGCCGCCGCCGCGGCCAGCAGCATCGAGCGGTTGCAGTCGCGGATCTGGCCCGGCCCCAGGGCCGCCGTCGACGGCTCGACCACCTCGTCCCCTGTGGAGAGCACTGCCACGACGGGCCGCCGCACGACCGGCAGCGCCGTAGCGCCGACGGTGGCGAGGATCCCAACCTCTGCCACCCCCACGCGCTCGCCGGCGGCGAGGACCTCCGCGCCCTGCCTGCGGGGGGGGGGGGCGGTGAGGGGGGGCGGATGTCTTGGGCCCTGCGTCTTTTGAGGCGCCACTCGTGTGTACTGAGGCGCCACGGCAGGCCGCTGCCCATGCCGTGCTCCAGTGGGAGGGGAGGATACGGCATGGAGCGCTTGGGGCTGCCTCACTTGCGCCCGCACGCAGCGCCCTCCTTAAATTCAAAATCCCCTCAAGAGGGGGGGGCGGAGAGGGCTGGCTATGCCCCCAGCCCGCTCTGCGGCCCGAGCCGCCGCCGCCGCCGCTGCAGAGCAGGCTCTCACTGGATGTCTGAGCCCACGGGCCGGATGTCCTGGCCCGGCTTGGCGGCCTTCAGGATACGCACGGCCGCGCGGCCGTCGGAGGCGGGCAGCTTCTGGGTGTCTTCGACCTGGATTACGGCGTCAGCGCCGGCGGGCACGGGGGCACCTGCACCGGCGGTTTGTGGGGGTTGCCGGGAAAGCGAGACACAAGAGGGCGTGTATAAGGTGGTAGTGACGGCGGTGGTGCTGGGAAGCTTCCAAGCGCGTGGAAAGCTCGAGAGCATGATCCTGGTTTCGATCTTGGATCGTGCTTCTGCTACTGCGCGCTGTGTGTGATGGGGACGCCAGCACAACCATGCGGCCAGCCGTCGACAGGGCCGCATGCACAGAGCGCACAGCACACGCAGAGCCCGGGGCGTGCGCACCCGTTGTGATGTAGCAGACCGTCCCGGGCTGCAGCGGCGCGTCGGGCAGCGCGCCCGGGCGCGACTCGGAGGCCACGGGGTAGTCGCCCAGGCCGTCGGAGGAGACCACCGCATAACCATCCTTGAGGGGCGCGCGTTGTGAGGGCAGACGAGGCGGACGGCTGTCAGAGAAGTAGGGTTACGAAGGGGGCTGGCGCGCCAGCAAGACCTGAGCGAGCCCCTCCCAGGGGGATCTGCGTACTGAGGGCTGCTGGGGCGAGTCGTGCAATTGAGCAGCCCCTCCCTCCCCCGCGCGCGCGGCCGCGCCACACGCGCGAGCTCTGCGGCGCACCTTGATGGACGCCGGGAAGGGCGGCAGGGAGTCGCGCGCGGAGACGCTCTGCGCCAGGATGCGGCCCACTGCGCTGCCCAGGGGCGCCTCCTCGGGCCCCAGAACGGGCGTGACCGCCAGCACGGCCTCCTGCGCCTCGGGGATGCTGATCATCTTGTACTGGGACATCTTGAGGAGAGGCCGATGATGCTGCGCCTGGCCGTGGCTGGCTGGTAACTGGGCCGTGCCGCAGCGGCGGCGTGTGCACCGGAGTACTGCACCCAGTGCGTGCGTGCTCGCGTGAAGGTCGCCGCAGTGTGTCCTGCGCGGGGATCTGGAACGCCGCAGCGATGCCACGCGGTGGGTCGCAAAGAAATAGACAATGTCGCAGAGTGGCGTGCGCAAGGTTCCCCGGCTCCAGAGGAGGGCCCGCGAGACTGAGAAGTGACACAGATCGTCGGATAGTCTCTGTACTGGTATGTAGCGTAGATTGAACTCACACAAAACTGCACGAGGGCGTCTGCTGGACAGCGGGCTGGACAACGTCTGGACAGCGGTGTGCCGCAGTGTTGGGTGGCATGTGGGTGTGTGCCGAGGGCATTTCATTGTTTGGGCCATGCAGCAGCTCCGTGCTGCTGGAGTGTGTACGCAGCTACGTCTTGATGGTGTACACATTGTGGTGTTCGTACAAGGATAGCTCAGAGCTTGCTGTGGGGGCAACACAGTGCAAATGAGCCCCACATGCTGAGTTGGTCTGCTGGGGGTTGGCTTGCCTGAGCCTTGTTTGTCCACGGGCGCAAAGCTGCTGCATCAAAGAGAACTGCATCACCCGATTGGCTGGAGCAACCTGGCGCGACTTGCCCTGGGTGAACAAGGTCTAGTCAAGAGGTCAACCATGTGCTGTCAAAGCGCACAACAGGAGTGCACGGTCTGTGTGCAGACACCGAAAATCGCCCGTCTAACTGCGCTCCCAAGCATTCTTACTTGCGACACGTACTGCAGCGCAAGAGGCTGGCCATTCTAGCTGTTTGGTGGTGCAGCCGTCGGCGGACCGCTGGTGACGGCCTCAGGTGTGACAAGGCAAGAGTGATGTCGCGTCAGGGAGATTGGTGCAAACTAATTTGTTGCATGCTTCAGTTTATTTCCGGTCTCGCTCGCGCTGCACAGCTGAGATCGACACAAATCGTCAGCGGCGCACACTCAAACGGCTGCAAAGCTAGGCGACTGCCCTCGTATTAGCTCGAAACGCAAGTGTTATATATCTTACAGCCGACAAGCGGCCGCCGCGCCATGGGGCGTAAGGAGCGCGAGGAGCGGCGCAAGGAGCAGGCGAAGCTGCGCCGCCGCGCCGAGAAGCACATGGGCAAGCGCTCTAGCCAGGAGACCCGGGAGATAGACGACCTCGAGGCGCGCATCGCGGCGGGCGCCCCGCCACCGGGCACCAACCCGCTCGCGCTCGACGCGCCGGCGGCCGGCAGCGGGGCCTACGCCGGCGCTAGGACGTTTGAGGAGCTCCCGCTGAGTGCGGCGACGCGGGCCGCGCTGAAGCAGGCCAAGTTCACGCAGCTCACGGCCATCCAGCGCGCGGCGCTGCCGCACGCGCTGGCGGGGCGGGATGTGCTGGGTGCGGCAAAGACGGGCAGCGGCAAGACTCTCTGCTTCCTCATCCCGGTGCGCAGACCCCTTGCTTCATCATGGTTGAGATTCAAAAAGGGAAAGGGACAGCTGCGGGCTTGGGCAGACGCAGTCCGCTGCTGTCATTGCGCCAGGGGGTTCAATTGTCAATCAGGTTTTGGCGGTGGCGGCCCCGCAAGGGCCCCGCCCACTGTGCCATTTGCCTGTGGTTTGTCCAAACAGGGTGGCTGGTCCCAAATCAGCTGGGGGCCGGCCCACAGCAGCGGCAGCGGCGGGGCGCGCGGGCCTGTCGGCTCTTTGGGCAGCCGCAGTATCGTCGGCGGCCGACAGCGGCCGCCGCTCCCGCTTCGCGGCACCCATGGCTTTGAGCCACCCTGGAACTCGACGCACGTCCCCTCGCGTCCCTTGGGTGCACGTCCCTCCCCGTCCCCGTCCGTCAACGCCATCCGCCCTGCGACCTGACCCTCTGCCCCCTTGACCCCGGGCCAGCTGGTGGAGCTGCTGTTCCGCCGCCGCTGGGGCAAGCTGGACGGACTGGGCGCCCTGGTGCTCACGCCCACGCGCGAGCTGGCCATGCAGGTCCGCCGCAAGACTGCGCGCCGCGCCGCCCCGCCGTCTCGGTCGGCAGCGGCGCGGGGGCGAACGCCGAGCTGCCAGCGACCGGCACGCGGCGCGTGTGCCTGTGCCATGCCAACGTATGGCGCCGCTGCGCCCTGGCCAGCTTGCCAGGCGTGCCGATCGCCCATCAGTGTGTGCTCGAAGCGATTGCTCTCCTGCTGACGTGCGGGGTCCGCACAACGCACCCTGCCGAAGGCTGTCAGCCCATACCGCTGTCCGCCCCATGAAGCCACCACTGTGCTGTCGCAATTTGCTCGTGAGCGAGCTACAAAACCTCCTGACGGCTGTTTTCATCGTGCTGCATCATACCCTCAGATATTTGATGAGCTGGTCAAGGTGGGGCGGCGCCACGAGATCAGTGCGGGCCTGCTGATAGGTGGCAAGAAGGTCAGCGAGGAGGCAACACGAGTGGCTTCACTAAACGTGCTCATCGCCACGCCGGGTGCGCGTTCTGGGTATGTGAGTGTGTGTGTGG